AAATGTTAACAATGCTTTTCTTGGACTGTTGGCATAAACAATGGCTTTCATTTCTTCCTCGTATGTTTTGATATTTATAAATTTTCTACAATAGCATTTCTACTATAACCAGAAAAAAACAGATCAATGAAAAGTAAAATCTACAGTTGAAATCACTGTTATATACAAAATGAGTACATTTTACCAACGGTAATGCCTTTGGCAATAGAGAAAAGGTGATTCCCATAGAAAGATTACAATGCTTTATATCTAATTAATTGGGAAAGCTTTGGGCAAAATCAGAACTGCAGACCCTAGAAGTTGAAGGCTGTGCATATTTGACAGACATGAGGAAAAAAAGGTAAGATCAATGGAAGATCTTCCAGACAGTAAGAACAGCCTGCTAGTGTATGAGAACATGAGGACTGTGAAAACAAGACCAAGTGAGCCTCACATGAAAGTGAGTAATAAATGAGAAGAGATTAGGAAGTAAACTGGCCTTGAATCTGAAAGTAAAGAGCCATGACAGGATTCTGTATTTTATATGTCAAAATTAAGAAACTCCACTGGGAAATAAGTTTATGGAATGAGGAAAATCAACCTTAGAGACAGATTGATTTCTACTTGGGGGGAACTCTAAGTCATTAGGATTGGGTCTGTTTTATTAACACTATAGCTTTCCCTTTACTTCTAAGAAAAAGCACATACACTGCTTTTACTCTTCATAATTCACTGGCTTAGTCAAATATCCATTGATTTTTCTGAATCTGTAGCCCATCTGCTTGCAAAACATTCATTGACTTCATGGGACTAAATAATAAGTATTGGTTGATGTTAATGTACATACATGCAATAAAACTGTCAACTCAGTCATCTTCCTGGTATACCTGACTATATAAGGAGAGTATCATTAGACAGTAAGGCAGTGCTGTCTGAAAGGTAGTATACATAATGGAAAGAGCATGGCCTTTTGCCTCAGAAAGACATGCGTTCAAATCCTGGCTCTGCTACTTGTTAAATTTGATCAAATTAAAATTTTTAGCCTAATTTCTTTATCTTTAAATCAGGGACAATACCTTCTTAATATCGATTTTATGAGGATTAAATGAGAGATAGATAAAGTATAACAGAGTGCTAGGCCTACAATAAACTCTCAATAAATGGTAGCCACAATTATTATTTTCATCAGCTTACTCACAGTTTACTTTCACAACACAACACAACTTAGAGTTTAAAGAACAATATCTAATTATAGTTTTCTTTGTACTTGTCAAGTTTTGGATTATTAATATGAGAATCATCTGTTTTTACTTAGATTCCAAATGATTAATTCCTAAAACTAGGTATGAAAGGGATGCATCTTACACATTTCCACATCCTTCTCTTTGAAGTTCAGTGGCACTACCTTCCCCTTTCTTGATTGGTTCACTTCAAGACTGGTCAGAAACCCAAAGAAAGGAGCTGATGGGCCAGCAGAGACCACTAAGGAGACTGAGGCCTTGGGGTGAGGTGCTTATGCTTGAGGAGCCTCAGAGAATCTGGGTTTCTGTTTCAGATAAGCAGGGTTACTCAGTGAGCTTTACACCCCAGCCCAACATCTGGGTCTGAAAGGCTTGAATTCAGCTAAAATAGCTGTGGTTCTCTCTGAGGGGAATGGATTCTTTTCACCCCATCCTGGAATCTTCACTGTTGCACTCTGAGGGGAAAGCCTCAGACTCTGAACTTGAGATTTTGGTGGGATGTCGATTCCTGTTTTCACTGGCTGTGGAAGAGTGAAGGTCTCGTTTGCTGTGACCTACCTGGCTTTCACGGTGAATTGCTTGGTCTGTTTACCTATTACTTTGCTTTGCTTTTAGTTGTCAAACAGCTCATTACATAGAGACCAGGTAATACAAATACAGAACCATAGTTATTTAGCCCAGAGAAGCACTGCATATCCAAGCTGTATTCCCTATCAACCCCATCTTGGATCCTTACTCTACCATCAGAACTCCTACAAAATTCAAAATTCATAATACTGAGAGGAGCACATACCTCTATTTTTTTTTTCTGATGGTGATATTTATTTTGCATATATTGATTTTACCTCTACTAATAAACTGCAGAGAGCAGAGGTCACACTTTATATGCTTTTTTTCTACTTCTTTGTTGTGGTACACTTTTGGACATATTACAGACTTCCCCAATAAAATTAGTGGAATAACATTTTTAAAAAAAGGTCACCAAATATCTAGTCGGTGAAACTAAAAAGTAAACTTAGCTGATGCTTTCTTTTGTGATTTTAAAGACTCCAGTGAATATGAAAAGGGCAGACAGGTGTGTGGAAAGACTGGCTGCAGAATGTGGGTTTGCAGTACATCAGAGTCTGCTTGGCATTTTTTGTTCCTTTAAGTCTTTTCTAAAAATGAGCCGGAATTTTTGAGGCTCCTTTATTTATTTTTTCAACCTGTGTATCAAAAATTTTAGTCCGATAGATAATTGCTCAAGATCACTCAGAAAGTTCAGATGCAGATTTGGGATTACAACTCAGTAATGTATCCCAGCCATGTATTTTTAACGATGACACTCTCCTGAAAAGCTGGCTAAAAGGGAATCTTATCCCTGTAATACATTATCCATTCATGTTTCTTATATTACCATAGCAATCAAAGTTTATTTATAGCATAAAGACACTCTAAAAGTTATGCTGGAATAGTTTAACATGAAACAATTCAAAATTTCTTAAGTATTACACAAACGCATTGTCTTAATAGCTAACATTATCCCTTCCACTTTCACTATTATTTGCCTTAGTTTCAATATTACAGTGGCATGATATTATACAAGACTATATTGAAACAATAATATTGATCTCATTATTTTTCAAGATTATGTTAAGATCTACTATATTTACTGGATATATTCTAAAAATAGGAAAAGGAAATAAATATTCACCCCAAAATTGGAGGAACAATCATGATGACAAATGGTATCTATTATTTTTATTAAAATTTGTCTCTTCCAATAAATAATCTATTGTTAATACCTATTTTTTAGAAAATACATAATTATTTCTACTTTGCCAAATTTTGCCCTGATTTTAACACTAGCATCATTGTTGACTAAATATTATAATAGTGTGGTTAATTTTTAAAAGATTCTAACTTCAGTTTAGGTCTTCTTATTTGAGTTAATACTGTCTAAATACTATTAGCAGATAAGTTGCTTAAAACTTAGATCATTTTCTGCACTTGAGTTATTAAAATAAAAATATAGCCATAATCAATGACAGTATTTGTACAAATATCTAAATTAAGTAAAATAAACCATATCCTTATGTATGTTTAAAGACCAATTTCACATATTTTTATCTTTAAAGTTATATTTGGAAATAGGATAGTGAGCAATTGCATTTTAGAGATGAGAAAACTAGGTTGGAGAGCAGTTGATGATCACTTTTGGATTGAACCTAGGTGTTCCAGGGTTCTGTAAACTATACACTGGTGTTATTTTCATTGATCTGTTACTTCAATCCTGAATGGAAAGAGGGGAAAGAGGGGTATGGCGGATTTGAGAAATACGCTTTTGTTAATGGAGGAGGGGAAAACCCAGTAGCTCTTTCTGACCAGCCAGTACCCATGGTTATACTTCTTAGAAGAGAAGGACCAATACAAGTGGGATCATGGAGTATTGGCAGATCTGCTGGAGAGATGAAATCATTAGCCACAGATAGGTTCATTAAGCTCTAACGGTGATGATAATCATCTGCTTGTGATTTGGAAGAACCATGCCTCCATCTGCTTGAAAGGCTCTTTGTTTTGTAGGTCCCTTTTTGTTTTGCTTCCTGAAACTCTATGCCAATTGACGTTTGAATGTTTCTGAAATGGAGACTTTTTGAGTTCTCTAATTGATTCCCCCACCACACTATATGCCCAGCTGGCAGATGCCCCGCTTTCAGGTCACAATACATGTCACACCACCAACGGGCTAGCCAGGGACCCATTCAAAGGACAATGGAATGACAGATATATTCCTTCCTGGAATTTGCATGAGAGGTGTATATATATATATATCTCCTGTAGGAGGGAGAGGCTGCTGCAAGGGAATTAGGAATTTGGTTCCCTTAATTCCCACAACCCCAATCACAGAATTTCTAGACTAAAGGAAAATTGAAAAACTGAAACAAACACAGTGAGGAGGTACTCAGTAAATTTAGAGTTTACTAGGTGCCAGGCAATATTTTAAATGCTTTACATCTACTCATTTGTTTATACTATCCACAGCTTTTAGAAGTGAGTACTATTATTTATCTCACTTGTAGATGAGAAAATTGACACCCACAGTGTCATAGCTAGTAACTGGTAGAAACACGATTTCAGTTTAGGTTAGTTCTGAAGCCTAGGCTTTTCTTCATTTTACTACAGGTGATCTCAAAGATCCTGTGTGAGTCTATTTTAATATAGAATAGATAGCTTCTAGGAATATACAATTATTTAGCAAGCAGGAAAGCAAATGATGACTGTGATTCAGAGAAATAGAAACATGAGGCCAGCCTTTATAAATCCCTTTATACCACTCTTCCCCCATCTGATACCACCTGCAGTAGAAATTGCCTACTGGGATGTTTTGTACTTCTTCTTACTTCTACAAAGGCATGCATCCTAATAAATTTGGGCTTCATTCATGAAAATGACAGATCTAATTACTCTCCACTTGACCATGTGATTTCTGATATCCTGGCTTACCCCAGGGCAGGAGCTTCCTAAGGGCACAAGAATATTTTTGTAAGAAATTGAGGTAGGTAGCCAACCTTAACCTTATATAATAGGTGACCTGATTCTGCAGAGATGCAACCCCCAGATGCAGTTTATTTTTCAGTCAGCACTTCCCAAGATCATGATTCAATTCTCTATTAAAAAATTACCCAGTATCATAACTTAGAATGTCACCAATAGATAAAATAAAGGACAACGCATTAAACAATCCTGGAATTCCCACTGTAACTGAATACATTATGTTTTATTTTGAAGTGAGTCATTTACCTTGTGAATCTATGAAGGCTCCATGTTCTTCAGAACTAGCTGCGAGGGCTAGAGTAAGTGGTCTGTGACCTAGAAGGAAGGCAGACAAACCCGGAGTTCAGATTAAGCATGAAAAATGTCAATAGGATTCCTGACACATTCACATGTGCACTAAATATTGGTTTGAGTTAGATTCGAATTTATAAAGGCATTTACCAGTCTGGAGGCCCAGAGAGGATAGAATTTAGATGACATGGAATCAAGCATCTGTGCCCCTGTGCTTTTTAAGTCTCAGCTACAGACAAAAAAAGGGAACAGTTAGTTCCAAACTGATCCCTGGAGCTAAACAATGTAACTGAACCCATGAGGGAGGAGCCAGCTCCCACCCACCTGTGGACACAGGTTAATGTGGAGATCAATTGCACTCTTATCTTGTGAGTCATTAGACAGCCCATCAGTGCCACCTGCTTACTTTAAATGTGAAAGTACAGGTCAGACATTGGAAACTGCCACCATTGCTTGGGAACCCCCTTTCTTTCTGTCCTAGTGATAGGAGGGAAAAGGCCAAACTTTGACCGTTAGAAGCTGAGAATCTATTCTTTTAGTAAATGCAGATGGGAGGGCAGATCAGAAGCAAGTCTTTCCCTGGGGGAAAGAGAGGGCGCACGGTTATCTCTGAGATGACCGTTCCAAATATGAGGACTTTATAAAGTTAGTACTAAAGTGAATTCAAGAAACATTTTAAATGTAAAGAAATACAATGGATCTGATGATTTTCTTTTTCTTCTTCTTTTGGGTAACTGTATTCTTCAGATATGCAGTGGCCATATATTAACATACACAGATCCTACAAAGTTTTTGTTTGCTTTAATTGTCTATGAGAACCACTGCCTGTTTTTTTGGTGGTCAGTTATGCTTTTCCAGAGCATCAGGAAAGGTTTACTCATCTTACTTTAGTATCGGTTGCCAGTGATTAAAGGTTCAAAAGAAACATTACATATTTCTTAAACCAAACCTAGTAGATGATGGTAGACAGGGAAGAAACTTTACTTTTTAATATTAGTAATAAGATCTCTTTCCTTATCAGCTATTGTCTACTTCTCCCCACTTTGCAATCTCCAGCTAACATGGGCCTTCCAACTTATTTTCACCACCTGACACGACACTTAGCTAAATATCAGATGTGTGACAGAGGACTCCAGACCATCCCATCTTTGTAGCAGATAAGTATTCATTTTTGTTAATGAAGTGAGTATATTTAATTGATTTTGTGTGTGTTGATGGTATGTATATGTATTATTTATTGATGGCTATTCTAGCAGCTAGTATTTACTTGATGTCTTGCCAATGGGTTTCAGCCCCGGGCAAGTTCACTCTGGATTCAATGAGACCGAAAATTGACAGTGGAACGTTCCTGGGGTGGAAGGGTTTATACCAAATTTTAGTCCCACAGTGGCAGGTCAATCACTAGAATCCCATCCACTCAGAGCGAGTCTGCATGCAGCAAGCTGGTCTCTGCCTCTGGGCCTCTCTACCTCCATAGCTGTCTCAGTCTGTCCTCAGTGCTGCCACCACTCCAGCCTCTGCTCTCCTGCAGCCATGAAGCCCATGCAGCCATGCCACTGGGTCACCCAGAGCACTGGGCAGAGCTCTTTATATCAATTCAATAGCATCATATTGCCTATATGTGTGTAGTGAGCTAGCCAACCAGGGCCAGGTGAGAATCCTGGCCATAGCAACCTTCACTTTATCCACATTCCACCCCTCTAGGATTCTCACCTCTCAATCTATGTGCCCTTATCCTCTGCAATAGTCCCTGTGCGAGAAAGCTGAAACACTGTAACCAAATTCCATAATAACATAATAAAATATACAAATAACAAAATTTATAACAAATTATAATAACCCTTAAGCTTGAGGAGATCCATTGCCATCAAGTGGTCATCCTGGCTGTATTGAAACCAGTTCTACTCAAATGAGTTAACCAAAAGGACCATGGGTGGGCTCTGCAATACCCACCTTCTCCAGCCTCATCCAGCAAGAAGTCTTGCAGACACACAGGCCGATATTGTTGCTTTGTCTCTAGCTTCTGCTTTTTTGTTCTCAGTGGCCAGAACCACTGCTCTGGTCTCAGTTGTTGTCACAGCTCCAGTAAGTGTCTATTTGACTTTCCATCCAATTTCTTTCTGTCTGCTCCTGCCTTAATCAACCCACATCTGGGTCCTCATGACCTTCACGGGGCCCTTTAAATTCTTACTTTGAGTAGCAGACCATATTTCCCTTTGTGCTTTCATTGCTTGAGCCTGAGGATAGAAGCACAGCATAGAGTGCTCCACAACCTGGGGAAGGGCCTGCACCTCTCCTGGAGGAACCCGCGGCTGCCAAGTCTTTGTTTTCTTTCAGGGTTTCCACCAGCTTTCAAACAGGTGGAGTTTCAACTGAGGAGGGGCTGATGCCTCAGGCACAGGCAGGGCCTCCACTCCTACCTGTTCATCAAACCTCTGCCCCTCCTTCATTTCTGGGGCTGAGGACTCCACTGCATCTTTCATGTGCCCCACGGCACCTAGCAGCCTGCACTCTCATGCAGGTGAAGGATGACCTTCTTCTCGTGCTGCTTCCTCTTGGGCTACCATGACATCCTTTACAATTTCCACAGCACCTCGTAGTGATGCCATTTCAGTCACCAGCAAAATATTTTACCTCCTCAACGGCACCTCACAGCTCACGTTCTAGTGCTGCCTCTTCTCATGCTTCCCACAGGAAGATGTCTTTCTCCCTTATGGCCTTTCTCATTATTGTGGAAAAAAAAAAATTCCCACCATTCCCACCACCTGACGGGCACTCTGTTTCTCTAAGGAATTCCCTATTTTGCTGAGGGCCAACATTACTGACTCAGGTGTTGCCTCCACGCCTCCCCAGTCTGGGGGTCGCCCAGTCCTCTAGGAGGCAAGCCACGTCAGGCCGCACATCCACCTGGGGGACACTCCAAGGTCACCCCATCCATAGGGGCAGCCTGCTGAAACATTTCTCCCATGAGGCAGCCTGTTCTCTTCCTTGGTCAACAATGAATCCTGCCAAAGTCACCAATTGTCTTGCCAATGGGTTTCAGTCCTGGCCAAGTTCACTATGGATTCAATGAGACCAGTGAAACATTCTTGGGGTGGAAGGGTTTATACCAACTTTATTCCCATGGTGGCAGGTCACTCACTAGAATCCCATCCACTTAGAGTGAGTCTGCATGCAGTGAGCCAGTCTCTGCCTCTGGGCCTCTCCACCCCTGCATCCATCTCAGTCTCTGTCCTCGGTGCTGCCACCGCTCCAGCCTCTGCTCTCCTCTCCTGCAGCCTTGCAGCCGTGCCACTGTGTCGCCCAGAGCATTGGGCAGAGCTCTTTATATAGAGTCAATAATGACATATTGCCCACACATGTGCAGTGAGCTAGCCAACCAGGCCCAGGTGAGAATCCTGGCCACAGGAACCTTCACTTTATCCACACATGACTACCAACTTAATAGCATTCTATCTCTGTGGAACATTCCTATTTTACTCAAAAACATCTGCAAGCTCTAAAAAGCTATTTTATGAGAAGAATGGTGAGATGAATCAGTTAGTTACAGTTTCTCAAAGCAGTGAGTTAGTGAACCCAACTCAAGGCCATTAACTAATTACTGTTCTCTCTTTTCTCTTCTGCTCACTTTAGTTTTTAAAAGTCAAAGTATTATATGGAGGTTCTGAATACTTAAAATGCATTTGTAATTAAGCAGCATGTTGATGGATGGATTTTCCATCACATAAATTATACCTGCAAGGGAAAAATCCAGCACTGTTTCTAGCCTAAAATGGACATAGGACAACCAAGAAAACTGACCACAAAATGACTGCCTATTAACAAATTATTGTTAGTAAATTCTTAAACAATAGAATTCCAAGGTGGGCTAACCATTTATACATTTGGAAGGCTGTACTAGTTATTGGCGGTTTCTTGAGTTTAAGGGTGCTTGTAAATATCACTTGTATCCTTGATGTAAGTATGTCGTGGAGAATATGGCTCTCTTATTCTTTCACATGTACATATTACTGGTGAGAGAGCAGGAGGGCGTTTGGAAACTGGCAGTATTTAGTTTTTCAACATACCACAAGTTTGACATGAATTCTAACAGGATTAAAAAAAACTGCTTTGTGACTACAAACGCTGTGTTCAGATTGCTGACTGAGGCTGCAAAATTTGACCCTAAGTGGTAGGTAGATGAGGAAGGGACGCGTACACGACCTTGCATCAAAAAGACAGTTCTTGGATGCAGTCTGAGCAAATCTACCTAATAATGAATTTTGCTCCCTAGCACTGTGCTTTATGGCGAGGGCCCAAACAGCTAAAAAGTCTCTATAATAACTAACAAAGGAAATTTTGCTAGATAGACTCATCTCCAGACTTCACACTGCCCTTGGTTATATATAGTTAGAGATGAGCTTATCTTAGACTATGGTTGAAAATGCTAAAGGAATAAAGTAGCACCTAAGGCTCTTTTGTTTTTGGCTGATTTTTTCATTTCATGGTTAGCTAATGGACATGATATTAACACAGAAATGATGGGCATTTGATTGTGTAGTTTGTGGAAGAAGGATATTTTCAGCTGTAGTAAATAGGCTCACTTTTGTAGGATGAAGTACCATCAGCTATCAAACTATGCCATCTTTAAAAGGACAAAAGTAATTGAGTAATTGTTATGTAGTAATGAGTGTAGCTTCTGAACTGATAGCCAGATTTTTATTTTTTAAATAAGTATTTATATTAGAAAACACAGGGTTCAAGGAATTTTCAATTATTTTCTTCAGGGTTTAGGCATATGTTAAAAGACTCATATTGGATAACTTACGATGTTACAGAAATAAATTAATTCCTATATGTGTCTTTTTATATACAGAATTTACATGTTAACTTTGTGAAAGCAGCATTAACCAAGTGTAGTCAAATGTACAAAAGAAGTTATATTTTGCTAAAGTTTGAGAATGTCTTTTTTTAGGACTTACTAGTCAGCTTTGAATATTGCCCTATTAACAGTTGTTGAATAAAAACTTTTCTTGTAGAAGAGT